TATTTTATAGTGCTAATTTTTTATTAGTTTCAGGTGTACAAAGCAACATAATAGCTAGACATTTACACCCCTCACAAAGTGATAACCCTCTTGCCCAAGCTACTAGCCCTGACATCCTCTGTAATTTTTTTTTTTTTTTTTTAGCTAAGCCATGCTGCTATCTGTTGGCAGCTCAGCGGCTGCTCAGCTCAGGCCGGGACTCGAACCGCTGTTGCTCAGAGCTCAAACTCTTGAGCAAGCTCTTAACCAACTGAGCCACTCAGCCGGCCCGTAGCCCTGACATCTTATATAGCTGTTACAATAACACTGACTATCTTCCTTATGCTGTTCTTCAACTCCTGTGACTATACACACACACACACACACACACACACACACACACACACATGCACACACACATTATATATATATATATATATATTTAATTATAGTTGATATACAGTATTATTCAACTTCAGCTTCAGGTCAGGCATCTATCTACACAGTCTATGAAGTGATCCCCCTGATAAGCATGGTGCCCATCTGGCACCTCACAAAATGTTTACAACATTGCTGATTATATTCCCCATACTGTATTTCATATCCCCATGACTATTTTTTTTATATTTTACAGTACTAAAATTTTTTTGAAAGACATATTCTTAAGTAGATTTCTGAAAATATGGAGGGTCACAAGTCAAGAATATTTATATATGCCTAATCAAGAATGTTTCTGACATAAAAGATCTCAAATGGAAATTTGAAATTTTGTTGTTTTGTGTTTTCTTCCATCTTAAAGCTTCTTCAAGATTTATCATCTATCTTCCTATCTATCTATCTATCTATCTATCTATCTATCTATCTATCTATCTACTTATCTCTCTATCTATCTTTTAAATTCTGCTGATAAGAACCCTGCTAATCCACAGCAATTTGATTCACTGCTGGAGATGCACTAACTAGGATGATGACTAATTATACTGTTTTTGAATTTAGATGAAAGGTATTGAAGTCACTCTTTGATGTGGAATTTGATTAGTTTTGAATGCTGCTTTAAATTAAGCTTGTATGGTGTCTGGAGCAAGTAGGTGTAAGGTCAACCCTTCCTCTGACTTTAGACGCATAATGATCAGGAAGACACCACTCAGCCCTCCATTCTCACCTGACATTTCTTTAGCTGATGACTAGACAATAGCAGAAGGAAACAACTATGGCAGTTTATTTCCTATGTGTATAGATTTTTAAAAATATTCTCTTGATCAGTTAATTATTCCATGGTTAATGTTATTAATATTAATTAATATTAAATTAATATTAATATTAAATGGAAAATGTTTTCAGCAAACAATTTGCTTAGGAAGGAAAAAAAAGAAAGAAAATTTAGTAATAAGACCTCAACTTAAAATTACCACCTGACTAAATACTCATGGAGAAATGGAAAAGAAACTATACCACCCCACCCCACTTTTAACATCGCCTTTGGGCTTTCATGCCACTAATTAAAGGGGTATTTTGAAAGTGTGTTTCTTTATGCACTTATGACAACTTTTCTAAAAGATGTCTAATAAGACTATTTTTGTTAATAAGGTTTATTTTGAGATTTTTAAAAAACACTGATACTCATTCTGTCTGGATAAATATACCACTTACAATATTTATAACAGGCAAAACACTGTAATAGTGATTCCATTTGTTCAAGTAGATTTGCTGTATAAAACCAAAATTGAGAAACCTCACATTATTGCATTTAGAGTTTAGACTCTAGAATAATTATCAGCACACACATATATAAATAGCATGAGGTCCTATTTATAGTTCAAATGTAAGGAATAATTAAGTACATTTGCCTTCCTAAGAACTACTACCTTTTGATCCAAAAAAATTATTGACCGTGAATCCTTCCTTTAAAGTGGAAAACTACAGTAATCCACAGTTACATTTAAAATTTAAATATATAATTATGAGAATAAGTCTAAGTTTCAGTAAAAAGAATGCTCTGGAACCAATAAGATTTTTTGCATACCGGGCATATAGCCATAACTTCTGATTATCATTAGCTACTGAATTGCCAGTCCTATCCCTGAAACAAAATCAGGGTTGTGATTCTCATATTGCCTACTTTTGTCATTGTTCAGGTACTATGAAATAAATTTCAACCACTAGTGTTTATGATGTGGGTTTTTTGTTTGGTTGGTTTTGTTTTTTGTTTTTTGGTTTTGCTTTTGTCATGTTTAAAGGCAAAGGACAAAAATAATGAATATTAGATATAAGTCCTACTGTGAGGTGTGAGCTCACATATAAGCTGTAAATGTGAGGCCACAATAAACTAGCAAGACGACTGGACACTACCCACATTAGGCATGCATTACTTTATAGACACATCATCAGTCTCTCTCCCTCACTGGAATGTAAACTTTATTGTTGAAGTATCTGTTTTATTATCTATCACCATACTACAAACTATGATTTAACTCCTTTTTATAATTTCACTATAGGTCTTGAAACTTTCCTAACATACAGTCTATATCTTAAATTGTATCTGCATAAATTCAAGTAATATTTGCCTTTCCTGCAGTTTTTTTGTTTTGTTTGCTTTCATCAATGAGAGAGTATTGTGTGTGTTCATTCATGGTCCTTAATAGTGCAACCTTCAGATCTGTTTGATAGTAATACTTGCTAGTGTCTGTAGCAGAGCACTTTATATTCAATGTCTATTGGTATATACCTTAGTAATATGACTGGTATTTTCAAATTGTAAGACATTAATCAAGAAAATTCTGAAACTTATGTTGGTGCTTTTGTTAGGCAAGGCCATGTCTTGTTTCAGATTATATTTGTGCACAAAAGTTTTATGTTGGGTCAGGAACAAGGTATTAATGTCCCCTCTCACCAGTCCTTTTCAACCTTGTAATAGAAGTCCTAGCTAATGCAATGAGAAAAAGACATAAAAGGTATACAGATTGGAAAGGAGGGAATCAAGCTGTCGACATGATTTTCTCTGTAGAAAATCCAAAAGAATTGAAGCAAACAAACACACAAAAAATACTCCTGGAACTAATAAGTGATTATAGCAAGGTTGAGGGATATAAAGTTAATATACAAAAGTCAATTACTTTCCTAAATACCAGCAATGAACAATTGGAATTAAAAACACAATGCCATTTCTCTTAGCTTACACAAAAAAATTAAATACTTAAGTATGACTCTAACTACATATATACAAGATCTTTAAGAGGAAAACTACAAAGCTCTGATGAAAGAAATCAAAGATCTAGAAGAAATGGAAAGATATTCTATATCCATGGATAGGAAGGCTCAGTGTGGTTAAGATGTCAGTTCTTCCCAACTTGATCTATATATCCAACACAATCCCAATAATAATCCTAGCAAATTACTTTGTGGATATTGACATAAAGTTTACCTGGAGAGTTAAATGAACCAGAGTAGCCAATACAACATTGAAAAAGTTGAAAAAGAAGAATCAAGTTGGAGGACTGGAACTACCCAACTTGAAGATTTATTGTAAAGCTACTGTAATCAAGACAGTGTGGTCTGGTTGAAAGAATAGACAAATAAATCAATGGAACAGAGTAGAGAGCACAGAAATAAACCCACATATATATAGTCAACTGATCTTTCACAATGGGCGAAAGTAATTCAATGGAGAAAGGATAGTCTTTTTCAATAAATTATGTTGAAACAACAGGACATCCACATGCAAAAAAAAAGAAACAAAACCTGAATGTAGACACCAGCACATCACGGAAAAAATAACTCAAAATATATCATAAATCTAAATGTAAAACAAAACTATAAAACTTTTAAAAGAGAATATAGGAGAAATATTTGGTGACCGGATTGGCTGTGACTTTTGAAGTACAACACTAAAAGTACAATCCATGGAAGAAATAGTCACTAAGCTGGACTTCATTAAAATTCAAAACTTCTTTTTTTGTGCAAGACATTGTTAAGAGAATGAAGCAATGAGCCAAGCTGGGAGAAAATATTTGCAGAAGACATATCTGATAAAAGACTTATCTAAAATGTACAAGGAACTCTTAATACTCAACAGTAAGGAAACAGCCCAATTTAAAATACGGACAACATATCTGAACAGATACCTCACCAAGATATACAAATGGAAAATAAGCATATGAAAATATGCTCCATATTATATGTCATCTAGGAAATTCTAGATAAAGCAAGAATGAAATACCACCGCACACTAGTTAAAATCTAAAACACTGACAACAGCAAATATTGGCAAGTGAAAGAAGCCAATCTGAAAAGAATACATACTGTATGATTCCAACTACTGTAAAACTTTGGATTGCGAGTAACTTGGTTTGCAAGTGTTCTGCAAAACGAGCAAACATTTCTAATGCGTTTTAACTTGGTAAACGTGTGATGCCTTGCAATATGAGTAGTTTGTTTCTGGAATGAATTAATTATGCTCGCAAACCAAGCTATTACTGTGTATGACATTTTGAAAAAGATATAACTATGGAGATAGTAAAAAGATCAGGAGTTGCCGGAGATTAGGGGAGAGTGAGGGATGAGCAGGTGGGGCACAGGAGATGCTTAGGGCAGTGAAACTATTCTGTTTGGTATAAAATGGTGGATACATGAATTTCTGAAAACCCATAGAACTGTACAACACAAAGAGTGACCACCGATGTAAATTATGAACTTTAGTTACTAATAATATGTCGATATTGGTTTATCCATGTTAGCAATTATAGCACACTATGCATGATGCTAGTAATATGGGAAATAGTGTGTCGGGAGGGGAGAGACAGGGTATATTGGAACTCTTACTACTTTCTGCTTACTACTTACTACTTTCATTTCTCTGGACCTAAAAAAAATGCTCTAAAAAATAATAACAATTTTTGTGTAGAAAAGGCCTGTGTTTGAAAAGAAGCTACAATATTATCCTTGCAATTAATTAATATGTATAAATGTATAGAACTGAAACTAATGATGCCATTTAACAGAATCACTTTTCTTTTCTTAACCAGCCAGAATTTATACTTACATGCTAGAGAAATCCAGACTTGTTTCACAACCTCTTGGCCAGAGCAATTTTCTCATTTTCTACTTGTTGATGGATGGGTTATCTGCTGAAGAAAAATATGGACTTCACCTTAATAATTTATGTGCACACCGGTAAGTGACTCTGCATTTTCTACCTAGTAGTTCTGCCTTCAAATTGTGATTGTATTTTAGCAGTCTTAATTTTTCTTGTTTTTCAGAGAAGAAATGTGACTAAAAGAAAATAATTAGATCCTATTAGGTTAGAACCATTTGTATAACAGGCATATAACCATTTATTGTATGTTTAGGTAAAGTTTTGTGAATGAGTATTAACTTATGTTTCTACTTTCCTAGTTTTCAGATCAGAAAAACAGATTTGCACATCTATAACTTTCATACCCCTTTTGGGTATTTTGGATATAACATTAGTTATGCATTCCTAATCTTTGGTAGTCTTTTGAAATAATGGGAAATATTCCCTGTGCACTTATTATTCATTCCTAGCATATGAGGTTACATAATAGCTTAAGACAAACGACACACATGAACTGAGGGGCCGGTTTTCTGCACTGGAGACAGAAAGCATCTGTTAAAATGAGGATGCATTGGTCATAGGATGGTGATGGAGGTGAGGGGCCATAAAGATAGGTAGCTGAGGAATGGCTTTGCGATGTGTGCATTTCCGCCACTGCTTGATCCAGTGTGTCTCCCCAGAGGGATTGGCTCAGATTTGAATTAGGATGAGAACAAAACAATCAGGAGAGGAAACACCATTCAGAAGAGAAATGGGTGGGAGAAGGGGGAAAGAGGGAACTGGACTGGACGTAATGATGCAAACTCGCAAACGAATTTGTGGTGGGGCATGGAGGAGATAGACTCTGAAAGAGATAAGATCTCTGTTACCACCTGATTTATAGTTTATTGGACATTTGTTACTGGGCTCAAGAAGAATGGTGTGAGTTTTCATCATTTTATGAAAACTTTGTAAGGAGAATTAAAGCGTGCTTGGGGCGGAGGAGCATGGCCTAAGGACCAATTGTGCTGGGGTTGAGAGTTGTTGAAAGTAGAGAAGCTCATTAGACAATGAAGTGGAGGCATCAAGTGCAAGCAAGCTGGAGCGATGAGGAGTTTTTCAGGGCTTTGCAGTTTAAATGGGCCTGAACTAGAACTGGTTGGAGAGACGATAGTGATTGGACAACCACTGTTGTGGCCATTGCTGTAAGGTTGAATGATAGTGGGGCATAGAACCAGGGGAAGGAAATGAATTGGCTGTATCCTAATGTACCATTAAATTATTAACCCTTCTCATTCAATTTCTTTGAAAATATTACATCCAGCAGTGTACATATAGTTTGCGTTTTAAATAGAGGAAATGTAGTCAAGTAGTTAAGAAGGCCTTATCAAAATTGTGTTTTATTTAAAGTCAAAGACTATTTTGGGGTATACTGTCTCCCAAAACAACAGAAATTAAGAATAAAAAGAAAACAATCATATTGAAGCATGGTATCCCAGACTTTAGTGACTTAAAAAAAGAAAGAAAGAGAAAGAAAGAAAGAAAGAAAGAAAGAAAGAAAGAAAGAAAGAAAATAAAGAAAGAAAGAAAAAGAAATTCTAAGCTCCCAGGGCAAGCTCTTCATTTGGTAAAAGAAGAAATGAAACCCAGATCACATTTCTACCTTGAACATGTCTAATGGGACGTATCCCTGGGAGGAAGAGCATCAGATTGGGAACCATGGGTTAGATGTTCAGTGGTCGGTTGTGAGAAAGAAAAGAATTGGATTTTTGTGTTCCTAATCTTTCTTCAAAGCGAAAACTCAGTGTTTATAGCAGATCATTGGTTTATAGGGCGTGTCTGTGTGTTTGTGTGCATGCACGCGTGTGTGCTTAGAGGTATGGACATAGAGCCATTGAAGAGAAAAGGCCATCTACCATTCAAAGAAACATTTTAAATTCTTGGTCTGTGGTTTGTACCAGTCTTTTGAAGTGTGTGAGTGTGGGAGAAAACAAGCATTTCTTTATTGAGCTCCAGTTCTAACATTCATTTCTCTTTGCAAAAGAGAGTTTGGAATCACTTAGGCTATTTAGAAAGTCAAACAGTCAGGGGTTGCTTTGTGAGAAACTTGAACAGGAAAGAACTCAGCAAAATAATGAATAATTCAATTCCTTAGAACAAAGAAGTTATTTTATTAAAATGTGTTATAAATGGCTAATGGGCACAAAACAACATTCCTCAATAAAAATTTACACCACCACTCCAGATTTATAAAAGTATCAATTGGAACATTTTTACAATGAGAATCCCACAGACAAAATATTCTTTAATAATAAAACAAGCTGTTTGACAAGTTATAATACATTATATATCATAATATTTTTGTGATTTTGTGTTATGTGGGCCTTCTCACAGTTACAATATTGGTGGATCTTTGCAGTGCTGCTAAGGTTTGAGGAGTTTGAGGAGAGGTCTAATCTTTTGTTCAGGGATTATGTATATTAAGTACCATAATTTTAGAAATTACTTGTTAACAATCGGTAATATAAATCTGAACTTGCTAGTTTTCCAGCCTTTCACAAATTGATGATTTTTCTGAGTCGTCTTCGAATCGGTACTCATAGGTAAAGGATACCACTATATATCACTTGAGTAAATATCTACATATTTGTGTGTGTGTGTGTGTATGAACACTATTAAGAGTGAAATTATTATTATCACATATATTTATCTGATTTTCTTTAAAAAATATGTTGACATATCTATTGAATAGAACAAACCAGCCATTACATTACCATCTGAATATCCCTTTGCTCATTCAATACTCATTCCACAGTACAGCTTGTCATGAAATTTTGATGACGTTTGTATGCTGAGTCTTAAACAGTATGAAAATTGTTAAGCCTGCTTTCTTCAAATACATCTTTTTTCTTTATTAAAAACAACTCATTACCTACATAAACATGTAACAGTAACTGAATTAAAAACACTCCATATTTATCACATGTTCTGATGTGATTAGGACTCTAAAGAAAAGAAAACATTGTGGTAACTAATGCTTTTATAATTAAAGCTGCAATAGTGCTTTGTAACTTTTACTCTGGGGAGCTAAAAGTTTTTAAAGTATCACAAGAAATTTTATGGAGCCTTGTTTCAGTGCTAAATGCACCTAAAAATACTTTCCTGTTTGTAAAATTAGGACAATGTCTAGAACAAGCAGATAGCACTCTTGCTCAGCTATAGAATATAAGTGGTACGGATACAGATACCAGCTCCTATAGCACGACTGCATGAAAACTATATTTATAACACCTTGCATAAGAATCTTCCTGTACAGATTGTTAAAACAACAACGAGAAGAAAAAGAGTCTCTAGTCTCTCAACATTTTGAGCCGTGGCAGTAAGAGTGCCCTTATTAAGAATTTCCACTAGATGGCGCACTCTACACAGTTAGACAGGAACAGAAAAAAAGCTCATCTCTAAAGGTTTCTTTTTTTTATTTATGGCTCTTCCTGTGATTGACTTTTTCTTTTCTTGGCTGTTGTCTTTCAAGTTCTATTTTAATTTTTTTTTCTTGTACCAAAATACATGACTACATCTGGGGGATGAATATAGTTTATGTTTGTGGGAATTGAGCTTTAATGAAAGAAATAGTCATTAATTGCTTATCTTCAACCTCCTTTGAATAGCTTTTCTGGGTTTAGCCCCAGAACTGTTGGGCTCCAAGAGTGATCCAAAGAAGTTATTCCTAATCTCCCTTCATATTGATTAATGATGGAAATGATTGTGGTGCTGCATAATAACGTGTTCGGCAAAGGTCAGATTTTGAATTATAAACTGAAAGCTAGCAATCGTTTGACTCAGAGCGTGTGACCTGCATCTAACCTTATGTGTTAGTGAAAGGAAACTCTGACTCACTAAGTATTTGAACTTGTGATCGCTGCCCGGGAGTACACCTGTCACAGTATGCTGCAGCAGTGAACTCTCAGGGAAAGCTCATTTTTTTTTAGCTAGGGCTTTATTATTCACATTAAACATAACCCGAGGAAGTCTCACATAATTAAAAAAAAAAACAATAATGATAAGGTAAGGATAAACTTAAATATTATTTGAGGATGTTTCTTCATGTTTTTGTGATATAATAAAAGATTTACTTGGACACACATTTTAGGCAAGCAAAGCTTGAAGGTTCTAAGACAAAGGTGCGAAACAGGAGATTAGAAATAGATTCTAATCTATTTCTGATGGACTCTCTTATTAATGATCTAAATGATAATCACAATTGCAGAACATACAACTTGTAACTCATGGAGTACTTCCCATATGCCAGACCCTGTCTGAGCACTCATGTCCCTTGTCTGGTTGAACCCTCACCTGTAAATAGGCAGAGGTTGCAGGGCCACACCTACATCAGACAGACCAGGACGTGCAGATGGAGAAGTCATCCGGGAGCCAGGGAGGAATCCAGGCCATGCTGACTCTTAGCCCTGTATGGATTCTGCGGCAACGTTGCCTGTAAAACAGCAACCACTGCGTTTGCATCATTGTGTCAGGAGATTTTTAAAGAAAATGGAAGGGAAAGCACAAAATTAACATTGTGGTGTGTGTGTGGTGTGTGTGTGTGTGTGTATTTAAAACTTGTTAAGCAAAACTAACTTAGGACATGCTAGATTTGTTATCTCTAAAAAGAAATTCTGGGTCATTTCTTTATCCAGTAACATAATAAAAATTTTGTGAAACTATAAGAGCTTGTCTTGCCCTAGTTGAAGGTTATACAATAATATTAGAAATATAGAAATGATTTGACCAACTCTGTAAATGGGCAGGTAAATTTTGCTTGTGAAAAGTCAACAGGGAGGAGGCAGGGTCAGTAGCTTTCCTACTTCCTCCCGTTTTTGAACTATGTATACCCAGAAGAGGAGAGAGGAGAAAAAAAAAACACAAAAAAACATGAATATCAGGCACCATGCTCTGCCTCTTTAATTAGTCTTCAAAACCCTAAGTTATGGGGATCCTAAATTGTACTTATAATAAGTCTGAAGCACAGGTACATAACTTATTCAGTGATATTTAGCTGGTAAATTTAGTAAATCAGAAAGCCAGACTCCAAACTCAGGTATATGTGGCTTCAAATTTTCTG